TGACACCAGTTTTGAAGACAACATCAACAGTTTGGGGAAGGAGTTTCTTCTTGTATAACTTCCCAAGTCTTTGTCATGTTAGGACAACAGACCTGCCAACCACTCCATGAATATCAGTTTTCCTCAAAATCCTCCTAAAAATTGGAGCATGGGAAAAAATCATCAGTCTCTGGAACCCTCATTAGATTAAGATTATGAAATGGACTGACAGTTGCAAATAAACGTGAAATGCATGTATACATATGTACAAACAAAATAAAAACAAATAAAAATGTGTATTTTCAAGTCATTTACAATAATTCACAAAAATACGGAAAATAAATGTAAATACAACTGTGGTTTTTGTTTCATGTCAATTAATGGCCTGGCGGAAATGGAATTCAAGGAAAAAAAAACCAACCAGATTTTATGCAAATCGGTTCGAGGTTCTACTAAAGATTTTGGCCGGTCTACGACAACACAATCATGAAGGTTTTTCAAATCATCAACAGAAGATTTTATAATACATCTCATATATAATGTCAGGAGGCAAAAGTGAAACAGGCTAATGTAACTGGGAGCATTCATCAAAAGTGAAATGCCTCTTCAAGCTGCTGCACATAGTCAGGCACGGATAACTCAAACACATAAGGGATTAACGTTTGACACATTCATAATTCAGGTACACAAAAAAAAAGAAAAATTAGAGAGGTATTAAGAAAATCAAGGGAAGTAACTTTGGCAGTACAAACAATGTTGTCCTTTTAATTTGATCTATCTCTACTTTTGAGGAATGTAGACAGTGTTGATTTGGGACTGCCAAATCACTTACAAATATCCCTATAAGTGCCTTAGGACTAAAAAAAAATTGCTCTTATGTCAGATAACAATCATGATGATGTAACCAATAGTGGTCAGAGCCCGCCAGTCACCCCTCTTGGGTAAACGCTTCCTGATCCACACCTTCAGGTTCAAACAACCACAAACACACACGCAAAAACATAATTCACACTCCATACAGCCTTAGTGCAGTGCCACACTCTGTCTTTGATCACACTCCACCACCCAGCTAAGCACCACCCTCACATGACTGGATTCAAAGAAGTTTGAGTGTTTTAGGCACACTACAGGAAATGTGTGATGATGTGTCTGGATATCAGCGGTGTGTGTGTCACACTGTGTGGGGGTGAGCTTGGTGGGCTCATGTAACCTGATACTCTCAATGACGATGGCTGTCTTGTTTACCATCGTGTGCACAGGACCATCCGAATTTGAGACAATTTCAAGGAAAAGTTTGAAAGGATTTTTCTAGATGAACTGTTCGAAAGGTCCACATGGGTGTTTGAGAAAACAGTGTTGCAATGATGATAAAAAAAAATAAATAAATATAGCGGTTCAATTGGACAAAGGCAAATTGTACAAGAAATCCATGATTTCGACTTTTTAGTGTTTATATTATCTGTGCCCAACTGCACATTTCTTTACAGCAAAATAAAGGCGAGCCATTCATATAAAATGCTGCTCAATAAAATAAAATCAATACAAGAAGAGGATCTGCGGTTGCTAAAATAACCAACCATATCAGTTACTTTTCCTGAAGAAAATATTTTTTCTCTGAGCATTTTTCATGACGTCATGATCATCATACCCTTTTACAAACATTTAATTTGCAAAATCACTCAACTGGTAATAATATTAGCACCAGTCTGGAATACAATAGCTTCACAGCTAAAAGACTTTCTATAGACTACAGCTTTCTTTCTAAACAGATAGGATACTTAATGATTACACCTAAACAGGCATATTTTAGTATAGTTTAATTTTGGATTTCACTCAAGAGTAAAAGTGAACAAATTCAGACATGATGCTACTTATGTGAACGGCATAAAGTGAGCGAGCATTTTCTTCAGAAGTTTTTGAATATTACCCGGTACATATATATATGCACAAACTAAGACCATAACAACAATACAATTAGTGTACTGCACAAGCATCTACCACCAGCAGTAGCAGCAGCCTTCCTTTCACTTGCTTTTCTTTTTGAGTTCAAGAAAGGTTTGCTTTTCATAAGTATTTATCCATATTAAAAGTCTAATTTTCATCCCTCCGAACAATCACAAAAACCATGCATACAAAACACACTAAATTTACAGTGACTGTCAGAATGTGAGTGATTTCTAGGTGGAATGTGCTTTGGTTTTTTCATTATATGTACTTTTGTACACACGTTCATGCAATCTTTTATGTACATGTGTGGTGCACATTTGTTGGAAAATGCACCACAGATATGTACACCTGTAAGCTACAAAATCCTGCACTAAATGGTAAATCTATTATCTGCAGGTGTACTGTGCATAATTGAAGTACAGTTCAGGTATAACATAAAGATTACAGGGGCACAATAACAATGAATAATTTTCATCTTTCAAAAAAGGGGCCTCACGACACTAGCTTAATTAAGATAACATTCTAAAGGGAGAAAAACGGCAGGTTTCAGGTGTACCACTCTTAAAATCCAAGATTTCTCAAAATCATCAAAATGTGACCCTGCATCACCATAATATATGTATGACAACATGACAGAATCAGGCCATTGTCAATTTTTGGGGCATACAGAGTTACTGATACAATCTTAAATCCTATTCATTTGTCCTGTCATCGATGAAAAAATACTCAATTATCGTGAATAGATGTCAAGATATTTGTGATTGAAGGAGGTGGGGGTCGCCTGGTATCAGAGGTAAAATTAGTGAGAAAATGGCCACAATAGTTTGTTGACTTCCAAAGCTTGGTGTAATTGGAAACTGCAAACTTACATAATTTTTTCCCCCTTTGACTAACTTTTTTCAGTAAAACCCATGAAGGAATGTGTTAAAAAAGTTCTCAATTTAAAAAAACAAACAATAAAAATTGCTAAACAAGCAGAAAAATGCCGGTTTCTTTGATTTCACTATTTTGACCCGCACCCAAATTCATCATGATACCACACAGATGTTCCCTAAAATCTTAAACTTTGTTGAGGGTTTTTTTCTCAGAGAAATTATTGCACTCTTCTAATGTCACTGCAATATAATTCTTTAAATTCCACTCCAGTAACACAATGATATCATCCTGTCTTTCTGCAGTAATTAACACTTCTGACTCACTACCATTTTCCCATCGAACTACAGTAACACCATCTACCTATCTAACTACAGTAATACCATCTTTCCACCTAATAGCAGCAATACCATCTTTCCATCTAATAATAACAGCAATATCATCTTCCCATCTAACTGATGTAACACAATCTTCCCATCCAACTACTGTAATACCATCTTCCTATCTTACTACAGTAATACCATTTTCCAATCGGACTACAGCAATACCATCTTCCCATCTAACTACAGTAATACCATCACCCAATCTCACACAATAGACTTATCTCATCTCACTACTTCAATCTGACTTTACAGCACATTAAATTGTCTTATTTTGCAGTTGTAGTAAATATTTTTCCATCTCCATCAACACAATCTAACTCATTTAGGAGACAGGCTTCTTCCATTCTATCCAACTTGCCCACAGCCAATCCTGGCAGCGTGGGACACATACCAGCAGAAAGACTCCATGTAGGCATCAAACCAATGTACATTATGTGCAAGGCAAAAAGCCTAACCATTAGACCAAAGATGGCTGTCTTTTATGTACATATATTGCCACTTCTGTACACTGTCAACATCCCTGAGCACACTCACTGTGTCGAGTCAAGCTAGGAGAAGTTTTATAACACTCATGTTACAGCACTCACTGTGCTCAGCCTGACACAGTGACGTACATGAGGGAGAACCCTTGAGAAAAAACACAAAACATCACAACAGCAATATGGACCTTTGACTACAACCGAAATGAAAAGGGTAGCACAAAAGCCCAATTCAAAAATACATCATGGGAGTTAAAAATTATTTCTTAAGACAAGTACATGCAACAATTATTTCAATATCATAATAGCTTTGGCACAGTGACATTTTCATGACGTGATCACATTCTGATAAAGGGAGCAAAGACCCCCTAACTTCTACCATAGTTCACATATATTGAAAAATCTACTTGCAACCATTTATTAACCCTTTTTAAAGCTGTCAATGGTATCAGAAAACAAAACTTATGACTTTAGAATTTAAATATTCATTACCAGACTCAAGCGATGTTTTAACAGTTCATTGTTTTAAAAAGTCTACCTTGAAGAAAGAATATTTTGCAGTAAATAAAAATCATTTCTCTTGGATTCTTTCATACAGCATTGCCTAACTCATGTTGTTTGCAATAAGATAGTTCCATAAATAGAGTAACTTCCAAATCCTAAATAGTTTTGAAGAGATTAATATTTTTTCCCCGCAGGAAATAGCATCACTTGTGCCTTTTGTCTGTCAATCTCAGGTGGTGTCAGTTGCTACATTACAATGCATATAAACAAATGCCTTTGAAATGCCCAGACGTATAAATAAATATCAGCAGTGAAGGTAGTCTCCCCCGAAACTAAAAGTTGAAGATGAATAGGATTAAGTTTAGTTTTAGCAGAGGTTTTATGGCGCTCGCAACTGCACAAGGTCATATGAGCGCCATGGGGTGGATGTCAGTAGAGAAGTCAATACAGGGAATCAGGCTTACTCTGCTCTCTAGTTTCAACAGCACAAAGTCTGTTTCGACTATAAAGGAATCCCGGAAATAGCGTGTCATAAGAGTGTGACAAACATACAAAAGAAGTAGAGGAAAATGACGATAGTAAGGATTAGGAAAGAAAAAGAAGTAGTTCCCTGTTGCAGTTCAGGCACAGTTATGAGCATGACATTGATGAACCAGCCCATTTACAATTTACAATTCTACTATAAATAAGAACAGGTCAATGTCCCCCCCTTTGGGAATGGCCTAAAGACACTTCAGTCAGTAGCACTGCCGCGGGGGGTGGGGGGGTGGAGTGGAATAGCATTAAGGCACACAGAACTCACTCCAAACAGATATAAAAAACACATACATCTTAATATCATTTAAATAAAAACAACTTTACACCAAAGCCTTCCATACAAAGCAAAGCATCTGAAGTATACCTTATATATATCAGAAATGGTTAGCTAAAGTTGCTGGCATCTCAAATGAATGTCTGTTATATGACAACAGACCAATGATAAATATTCTGGGACTCCTTTCATTGTAAGTTTGTGAAGCTGCTCAGCTGGAACAAAACTGCCTGTGGCAATAACATTCCTTAAAGTAATTAACAGCCAGACAACAGTAAAATTCTTGACAGGCATAAATTGATCTCTTCATAAGATAAGCTGTCAAACCACATATCATTCTGCAGCAAAGAGTCCAACAGATCAAATACTCCACAAATACTGTTAAGTCCTTCCACTATCAAGAGATAAATGAGCAAGTTCCAGCGCTGTTGAATCACCTGCCCACGGAATACAGGAGGCAATCAAACACTCTTAACTAATCCATTCAGCTCTCTTCAATGTTATCAGACACTGGTTGCAACACACAGGAGGAACTCCACACCAGTCCCGCTGACCACTGATCAGATTGTGGCCAGCAGCTCACGCCGGTCTTGACTCATCTTTCTCATAGAGGGCTCACTGTGAAGTACACAAACAATTAACACCTGAATACTTTTGCGTTTCAAATTTCATTAATTAGGCCTACACAGAACATACTTCATTTTAAAAATGAAGTATTAAAGCCACAGATATATATATTTGGGCAAAACGAAAATAATTTTTCTAAAGGAAAATATTTTAAAATGAATAAAACAGCCGTGAAATTTAGGGGATCTGACATACATTTTATGATTATAATTTCTTCTTTCAAAATTCTCTAACTCAACAAAATCTCCAGCTAAAAATTCTTAACAATAAATAATACCAATTTTTATCCTCACACTGACATGCTTCCTTGACATGACAAGTTTGAACGCTTGTTGAACAACTTTTCTAAAATGCTATAATAACGTGTTTCTTTCCTACTCACGTACTACCATCTTTCCTCCATATTTTCTTTGCATGTAACTCTCTTGTGGCACTCTTAATCTTTGGCACATATGTGACCTAATTGTGTTGCAAGTGCCATTGAACTTTAAAAAAAAACTAAAAATAACTCATGTCTTATACACGAAATCAGTAAACGTATCACAGACTTTACTATACTCTTCCCCTTCTCAACCTTCCACCCCCTTTTTAAAAACAAACACTGTACCAGTGTGAGCGCACAGACAAAAACACATAAACAAAAAGCGCACCCAACGAAAAAAAAAGACCAAGAGAAAAGGATCCATAACCATAAAAAATCTTCTGAATTCGAAGTCCACTCCAAACTAGAAAGCATTTTCATCAATAGAGAAAGAAAATAAAGGAAACATTAAACATTTTGAGGAGAAAAAAAGAATATCAATGCGTGTAAGTGATTTTAAAAAAGGCAAAAATAGGGAAGTATGACGAGATTATAATATTCCAGTCTAAATTTCTAACATGATGTAAAGTTACACTGTAACATACAGTAGACTTTGTTTAAAGACTGCATAACATAAAGCCATTTACCATGAAATTCCTGATAAGACAAAGAATTTTAAATCCCTCTTTTTTTCCCACTCTCTATTCTATACATTGTAACTTCCCTTAAGGCAACAAATAATTCTAGCAGATCTAGTTAACAATAAGGAATTTTGGTTTGTTTCATTTCAATTCCTCCTGGCTGACTCTCCACCCTTCCTTTTCCAATTCCCTTACTTAGCCTACAGTTCACTACCTCAGAATCACAAAGTTCCATCTGACATTTTTGACTGTTTTGAGTAACAACGGCCATGAGGTCTCAAATTGTATGGATTGAATTACCTAATTTAACTTATTCATACAAGGTATCTGATCCCATACAATCGGCGGATTCCAAGTAGTGTCCTTTTAGAAATTTTGATTTATAATAATATTGCTCCATTTATTATTTTAATATTGTTTCATTATTTTACTCAAATCAATTCTGTTAGTATTATTGTTTTTTATATTGATGTTATGACCGTGTTTCTTCTTCTTCTTCTTCTTCTTCTTCTTCTTCTTCTTCTTCTTCTTCTTCCTCTTCTTCTCATTATCAATATTTGTATTATGATAATCATTAGCATATTTATTTATCTATTTATTTATTTATCTATTATTTATGTATTTATTTATTTATTTAATTGATGTTTTTTTTCCTTAATTATCATTAATACTGCCCTTAATCCATAAACGTGTTATCGATAAAAATAGACGGTAACATAAATGATGACACTATAAGGGGGGGGGAGGGGAGGAGGCAATTACAGCGAATTATAGGCGATTTCCAGGTTGAGAACCATAGATATGGGGTACACAGAAGCGGAACCAATAAATTGGCAAAAAGATATTATTAATCCGAATACAGGAAAAAGAGGCTAAAACAGCACCTGGACATGGATGGCTGGTGCCTCTATAAATAAATCATTGATGGTCAGGTCAGGCCATGAGGTCAAAAAGCAAATGCTCTCTCTGCTCTATCAAAATCACAAGAAAGTTCGAAGCCATTATCGAGATATTCAAAGAACTGCATTCGAAAAAGTTTGACATGTTGTGAAACTCAAAAAGTTTTGACGATAAATTTCTCAAAACTAGGTACTGAGCAGATAGAACTTTGTAATTCTGAGGTAGCGAATTGTCACTACACATCACATAGCACGCATTTGATAGCTTAAGACTTCCCATTGAGTTTTCTTTTACACTTTCAGCACGCAGCAGGATGTGAGGGGGTGGCTTTGTTTCACAGGACAGGCAGACAAGACACTAGAAAGCTGCCAACCGTCCCTAATTTAAAGGGATCATCCTGATCATTTAATACTTTCACATTTTCTTTATAGTATAGTGTGCAGCTATTACGATTTATCAGTTCCATGTTTTGCTACTTGCTTTCGTTCTTATTAAACCCAACAGTAGCATGAAAACCATCAAGTAAATAGCTACAACCTCCCTTGAGCCTTATTCTGTGCTGTTAAGGCGTCTGTCTGGGGTTGATAATATCAATAAGGTTTCTCTTTTCTTCAATTTTCAAAGGCTGGCAGCTCTGCATGTGTTGCTATTATTGACTAAAAATAGGTTACACAGGGCCTAGCATCTGATCTGAATGAACTGAGAGAGAGCAGTCGCCTCCCATTTTTGTTCTTTTTGTAAACACTGTTGCACAAAAAAATCTGTTAAACATGAAGAAATTCCCTGATCAACATGACGTTTGTATTATAAGTTTTATTGTTATTGAAATGTTATTTCACAACGGACAGAATTTCTTCTTGTAAGACACTGAAGATATTGCAGCGAAGACCAGAACTAGCTCAATTCTCAAGAGGGAAAATTCTATTCAAAAAGCTGATTGCCAGATCTGAGAACACAGACACCAACTCAGTATGCAATGATTTTAAAAAAAGATTTTTTTTAAAAATCACTACTTTTGAAGGTACAAATTTATGCATTACATGAGAAAATGGCAAAAAATCTCAACTGGACCAACTTTTGCCTTCTGAGTTTTAAACATTTTTAAAGTTTTTATTATAAGCCTTTGAGGAACCAATGCATTGAATACTAAATATCTTGATTTAAAAAAAGTAATTTAGATAGTTGAATAAAGTATTAAAACAGCAAATTTAGAAGTCAACAGACATGCTTTATTAATGGCAAAATATGTAAGTTAAAATTACAAATGTTTGTGTCAAATTTGTGTTAACTTTTCTCATGAGAAAACAAAAAACAAAATTGTCAAATTTTTAAAAAGACATACAAAGAAAGTAAGGACAACAATGTAAGAAAAAATGGGGGGGGGGGGGGGGGATGTCATCTAGAAAAACAAAACTTATAATTTTTTAACTTCCTCACTTCCATTATCCAAGACTTAAACAAAGTTAAAACTACAACCTAAGCCAGTTGTGGTTTTAGTCCCTTAACTAAAGAAGCACAGAGGGAAGAAATTTGAAATACTTTTCATCATAACTCCAGGAAGAATACAGCACTTCCCATGAACTGTTGCTTTCAAATGTGTACACCTTTGCTATCCACGAAAACAATTTTTTTTTTAAAGGTCAGGTGAACTATTCATGATGTAGCCCATTAAAAAATGGCGGAGCACACTAAAATCCCTGAAGAAGAAATACATACTTCATGGAAGACAAACTTTTCTCGTCAGGGTGGTTATAAACAAAGTATTGAGAAACCTATAAGTAAGGAATTCTATTTGAGAAATGAAAACTTAAAAGAAAATAATTGTAATTGTAGGTGTTTAATGCTCCCAACAACACAGCTTAGGTCATTTTGGAGGCAGGATACTTCGACCCTGCCTGTCACAGCCAACCTAGGCCGAGAAGGATACAACTTCTCAGCAGACAAATGGAAAAATTCAATTAAAAATCCTCCTCACATCAGAATCAAACACATGTAATCTGCCTGCAATGGCGAAGCGCATAACGGCTACATGCAGACACTGGTAGAAATAAAAAGTTTAGAAAACCCTTTCCAGGGTATCTACACAACAGTGCACTAGAATGTATTATGAGATTATGTTCTGTATTTATCAGGTCTCTTCCCTGTAGAGGGGGGAATGATGAGAGAAGACAGAGAAAGCGGATGGGTGGAGGGAGGGTGATCTCCATGGGATCAGATCAGAGAAGAGGAGAGCAGAGAGGGTTAATATAAAAAAAAGCTGACCCTGACTAGAAGGGCATCACGGATTGGTTTTTTTTGGACATAAGATGTGAAGCCCATATTTGGCCAGACATATGAGGTCAGTGGCCAAAGAAGATAGTCCGCTCCAAACACTGCAGGAGACAAGGACACCAGGTCAGAGGTGGGACAATTACCTCCAGGATGTGAGGGCAAGAGAGGTCAAGCAAATAGTCTAAGGGAGAAGGGGGGCAAGAGTGGTTAAGACAGTCTTCGGGGAGGGGGCTGGATTGGGAAGTAACAATAATTGTAAGGTAATAATTGAAAGGTACTGATTATCATGGATGGCTGTCAAAGGTGGGTGCGCATAGAGAGAGTAGTTATAAATATTTGTCTACGGTCGGAGCGTGAGGGGTGGGGAGAAGTAATAATAATCTGGGGGGCCAGGGGGTGGGGTGGGGGTGAATGAACCTGCTACTCCTGGCAGGAGGCCCAACTAGCACTAAATCATGATACAGTCGAACCTGCCATGACAGCCACCTGTACAAACGGCCACTTTCCATTTCCCCCTTGCGTATTTTCTATATAATTTAACTGCATAAAACGGTCACCTGTCCAACGCGGCAGCGGCACTTTATTTGATCAGCCTACGGTCAAATTTACCTGCCTCAGGCGGCCAGGCGTGGTCACTCGCTGCCCGATGCTTTGTCATAAATTTTAAATCAGCCCCTGACGCTGTGGACGGGCCTTCATAATTCATTCACCTGTCGTTATTGTAAGTCCCTCCAGTGAATGTTTACCCAAGTTGACCAACAGATAGGCTTAACAATACATTTCCAACTGCTTGTGAGGGAAGTGTGATCCGTCATATCTTATAAACACCGCCCACAATTCATGCACAAATCGTATGTGAGATGACTGGTCACTGTTTTATTGACCTAATCTGTAACAAGTAACAATGGACGTTGACGTGAACTTGCAACAAAAGCGTCGTTCGTTCTTCCAGTGGTGGCGATCCGTGTGTTAGTTTTACCATGGCACTCCATCTTCATTGTCTTACTTACATAATATTTCGTTTTTTTTACCTACAAAATCAGCAACAAAAAGAAAGCTTGACAAAAAACAAACCAACAAAAACCCTTTCTTATACACCCCCCCCCCCCCTTTTTTAAAGAGAAAACAAAAACCCTTTTAAATTGGCCTTACGGCCGGCGTCTAAAGTCTGAGATCAGCCCGGTTTTGACGTCATAAAAGAATGATTTGCTTTCTTCATTTTGACCAGTCCTGCCTAAGACGTCCACCTGTGTTATATGGGTACTTTTCCTCTTGACAATGGAAGGCCATTTTACCCAGGTTTGACTGTAATTACAAAAATTGACCAGCTCAGAGTCGCAAAGTGTGATATGTGAACATTTGTCTGTTCAGTCAAGAAAAAAAAATGCTCCAAAATAGTAACAGTCATGAGGTGCTGGGAAAAAGTATGACAGCTAAATAAAACTACAGAGACACAGAGCTCCCCAAGAAGGACAAACCACTGACACCCTCAAAACAGAATCACCAACCTAAACTACTGCACATTTCACTGTCAACAGGACTGTGCCGACTCTGAGCCCAAGAAAAGTTGCAACGTATTACGACACATAGGAAGTTAGTATGAGAAATCACTTCAAGTTAGTACAACAAAAAGGACAATACTAGTAGCAAAGATCTGATTACAGCAAAAAAGGATTCAGGTGTTTCAACTATACTGAGCAAAACACTTTCAGAGGAAAAAAACTACGAGTAGAATTCAACTTCCTACTGCATACTGACAGAAATAAATATGTACAAACTGAAAAGCCAGGTGTCAAAACTGCTTGACATAGGAAGGCAGATACTGTTTTCGTAAGTACTTTTCAGTACACAGAGATACCAGTGAGGTAACAAGCTTGTTGTAAAATCCCAGTGCTACCTGACCTTTTGAGAACACTGACAACTACCAATTTGCACCTGCAGTCCACTCGAAACAAGATGTGCCAGACCCTTTCTGTATTACAACTTTTTCTTCCCAACTTTAGGTTTTTTAAAAAATACATCAGAAAGGATAATGATATGTGGGCATAGTGCAACAATTAAATTGTAAACCTACCACCCCCTCCATATTACTGAGGGTATATAATATCTTGATCTCCATTAACTGCTTTTAGAACCCAACCTTTTGACGACAATGAAGAACAACAAATCAGATTTGCCCGATAACAAGGGATCCTTCGTAGTTCTGTTTGGAAAGATAAGAACCTGAACGCAGACCCAATTTGTTCAAAAAAACCTACGGTAGATGCTTTCAGATCGTTGCTACAAGCCTTCTTGGAAACAAAGTGAGCAGGAATATCGAGAGAAGCAAATGGGCGAGGTCGGGAGGCCAGAAGACCAGAGAGGAGCTCAGTAATACTAACGGTTCAACTTCGACCACTTCTTGCAGGTCTTCTTCTACAGCTTTATGCTTCTCATCCCTAAAATTGAATTGTAAAAAGTCATTTTTTTTACATTATGAAATTTCGAAGGCCTGCCCTAAAGGCCTTGTGCGAGATGTTTCAGGACAAAATCATGCAAAACAAAGTGGAAATGCAACGAAACAGAAAGACTAATTCACAAATAATACAGTATGAATTCAAGAAGCACTTTTTATCCAGTGAGAGTATAGCATTTGACTGAGACAACATATTACTATGTGGATGAAACAATTAAACACACAAGCAGAATGTAATATTTTATGTCAAAGAAAAATTCACTAAGATCCTACGAAGACATACATATGTTACAACACGATGGAATCAGGTGCTCATCAACCTCTGGACATATACAGGTATTGGGTATCATCTTAGAACATTTTTTATTTGTCTTGCTTTAAGTGAAAAAAACACCTATTTATCTTGAATAGAAGTCGAGATATTTGCTTTTGATGGAGGTGGGGGGGTCTCCTCGTATCAAAGGTTAAAAAAGCAAGAAAATGGCCGCCACAGTCTGGTCATTTCCATTGCTTGAGAGTCTTGGTTGATTCCACCGCGTTGTGACACATATCGTCACTGCAATTCGCTATCCGCGTATGGAACAAAATTTAAAAACTTAAGGCATTTAACCTAAGCACAATCTTAAAAATCAGCTCTCACATTTTACGTTGCATCAAAAATTCATGACAACAAACTAAATTGTAAAAATCAAGAAGTTGAAACGTGTATTAGAGAAATATTTTCAAAATTGTTTTCCTCACATATTCTTGAAAGTATCTGAATCCTCCATACGTGGATAGCGAAATGCACTGACGATATACAGTCGAACCTACTGTAACAGCCACCTGTCCAAAACAATCACATGTACAAAACAACCACTTCCCATTTCCCCAGTGCGTTAAAAAAATGTTAATAACTGACACTGTCCAAGACATTAACCAGTCTAAGACAACCCCTTTTCTCCTCAACAATGGGTCTTGGAGTTTCAACTGTATATGTGCATCAATAAAAAGAAAAAAACAAGATTAATGTAGAGAAAGATATCAGTTTTGAAGAAATAAATGAGTGAGTTGATAAGCAGAAGGAAATAATTCTAAACTTCTGAAAGAAACAAAACGATGAGATCGTTTGAGTTTTTAAAAAAAATTTTAAAAATTCGAAGATAAATTATTTTCATTCATTTAGTAATGACTTATGACAAGACAGGTAGAAAATTTTCAAAATCACAGCTCCACAAACTTCAGAAACACACAGTCAAAGACAGGCAAAAATAATTTCTAAAACTTTTTTATGTGTGGACAACTATTTCTACACAGTGGACAGGTATAGGCAGAGAGTGCAGACCAAATTCTATTCTGACCCTTGACTCACCTGCGTAAACATGCCAGACACGGGAAGAAACAGAAGAACCAGCTTTGCCACGTGCCATCACGCCGAACATGGTTGAAGAGCTCGGACACCGGCATTTCACCGTTCTCTTTCATGAACTTCTGAATTTCTGTCTCTGGGAAGCCTTTTTCGTAGTAATGCTGCATGCATAGAGAGACATAGCAACATTTAGTCAACCACAATTTGAATATGCTTCTCAATGTCAGATCAGCAATATTCCTGAGTTGTAGCCTACTTTTCAACTCACTGCCTACCATTACCCACAAAACGCTTATTTTGAAGGCAGATCACAAAGCTACCACAGAACACATTTTTCTGTCAGTGAAGTTCAAACCAACTGAACTCCTCCACTCTCTTTTCTGCTGAATACTTTATGTGAGTAACAACCAACAGGGGCAGCAGTGTTCTAACGAACAAAGGCCGTGTAAAATTTGAATTTATTGTTAAATCATGTATACAAGTTGTTGGGCTACATAAAGCAAACTTCTAACCAAGGACTAATAAAATAGGTTTATTTTTCCCTTACAGCACCTAGGCTAAACATTTAATGTGCAGGGCACAAAACACATCAAGGTTTAAAAAAAATTCCAAGTTCTTGTTCAGGAGCATAAAAACTTATACTACATACACCTACACTTTTATCACAAAATCAAAGGATGGGCTCCAAATAAGTCTCCGAATTCCATTTAATAAAAGAAAAAAAATAGAGATGAAACTGGACAATTTTTGTCTTCAGCACAACAAACTTTTCTACTGTGGTTTACTTTGTGAGGAAGAAAAAATTGACTTTACCTTCAAATTTTCATAATTATCCATGATGACGGCGATGAAAACACTGAGCACCACATAGATGAAGAGGGAGATGAAGATGTAGAGGTACGCCCGGTGGAAGTAGAAGATGGAGTTGCTATTGTTTGTCAGGGCAGAGAAGGTGACGAACATATCATCACCGTTGACCAGAGAGAACAAGCACTCTGACGCCGTGCTCAACTTCCGGAACTAAGAAACAAAACAACATATCCATGATGTTAAGGGACTCTTTACTAAATACGAATAGGGAAACCTGTTACAGAAATTATATAGGTGCTTTAATCAGACCTTGCATCTATACTTAATATAGATTGTGAAGTGCATAGAGCTTGTTGTTGAGCAGGGATTCGTGCTATACAAATGCTATCTATTATTATTATTATCATTACATACTAGGGCTATCCCAAAGAAAATAGCTATTAAATGAAAAGTTTTGTCATGGTTAGGTTAGGAAACGACTTACAGTTTCGTATAAACATTCCCTTTATTCTTCAATGTAGTCCCCATGAACAATCAAGTATTTTTCCTATCCTCAAATGAGTAAATGCATGTGATCCCTGAAAAAGTCAATCAACACAACCAATCTCTGATGCGCTCCAAAAAGTTTGTGTCATCAGTAATTTCCTCTGTGGCTGGATATCACTGCATTGATCCAAACAAATAGAAGTCTGAATGGTCAAAATCAGGACTGGTCTAAAAAGCTTTCAGTAGAATCTTGGAAGTCACAAGCTGTCCAGTTCATCATTCCAATAACACCGTGCAAACATAGAAGTGATGTGCACATCTGTCAACTGTTTTGGAACCCACCAAGCCATTAAGACGGTGACTCTTGACTTAGAAAGATCTATGGCATTAGCAAAGGTCAATTTAGAGCCTCCTGTCATAAGGAATGAGTTTTTCAATGCGTTCAGCAATTTTTCTGTGTTGGCTGAGAGATGACAAACAATGATCAAAGCTTATTTGCTCATCTTTACAGAAATGGCACCAATGGTAGATCTCTGACTTTCTTAGAACATTCTCACAATAAAAACTTTAGAGTTCTGCATGAGTCTCACTGGGAGTTTTTCCCTTTTGTATAAATAGACTGAATTGCAGTTCTAATCTCTTTTTTCTATCAATTTTCTTTAGCGACTGCCATCTTTCTTGCCATGTAGTAAAATGGTGTATGCGATTATTTTCTGAGCAAAGAAAAACTTTTATCAGAAATGAAAAATATTAGATGGTTATTTGAATATGACCGTTTTTCTGTTATTTCTGGGACAGCCCTCGTACATATCGACGGCTCGGTGTAAGACTGTCATACATCACTTTTCAAAATGGTGTATGGCAGAGTCTAACACAAAACAGTCGATTTGACTGAATATGTGAGTGTTATTCTATGTATGTGTATTGATAAACTTATCCTATACATAAATATATTAACGAATGAATGACTCATAAATTCCCGTAGAGGGTTTTAGATTAACTTTCAGCACACTACAATACAAAAAATATGTACTTTTAACCACATACATAGACAGATACATTTCACACACACACTTAAGCACACATCTATTACAAAAAAATGCACAAACTACTCACATACATGGGTGCACAACCATACACAAGCGCATACAAACTATAGCATAATAAGCTTCACCTTAAAAGGAAATAGACAGAGCACTGCTGATTTATAAACACACATAAAAATACACACATCTATGCAAACTAACCTCATCAAGTGTACAAAAACTTATCTTAATGTGAAAAGCTAAAGCGTTACTCATCCACGGAAGAACACACACATGCACACATATCAATACAAACATAAAATGTACAAATATCATTAAATACAAACTCAACCCACGGAGCACGTGCACGCGCGCACATGCACGCACACGCATCAACACAAATATATCATGTGTCACGACGCAATGGAATCAGATGCTTGTCAATTTTGGGGCATATGGAGATATTGGTGTCATCTTAAAGGTTGTTTATTTGTCTTGCTTTCGATTTAAAAAATTATCCATTTATCTTGAATAGAAGTCGAGATACTTGCAATTGAAGGAGGTTGGGTCGCCTGGTTTCAGAAGTAAAATCAGCGAGAAAATGGCCACCTAAGTATGATGACTTCCATAGCTTAAGAGTCCTTGGAAACTGCAAATTTACATTTTTTGTGCCTTTATTTAATGTTTTTCCATAAAATCCAAAAATGAAAGTGTTTTTGAATGGACATACAAGGTGTTGAGCAAAAAACAAAAAATCGAAAAAGAGTTCCAAACTGGCCGAAAAATGCTGATTTCTCGGGGGTTTTTTATTATTTTGGCGAGCGCCTGATTTCCCCACTCTGCCTCACAAATATTATACAAATTGCACAAACTCAACCCACGAAGCAGGCAAAGCCTCACCTTGATGTGGAAGGGTGAGAAGACAACCCATCCACAGAACAGGAAACCCATGTACAAACAGACTGCACACACCAGGAACCGTAACACATGCGGAAAGGACGTCTTCAGGGTCAGCATCAACACCTGCAGAAGTTTTGATCACTGTTTGTTAGAACTAAAAGAACACACATCAAAACAAGAATGATCACTTATCTTTGATTTAATAAAAGTTTTACAGCACTTGCAACACAATTAGGTCATATGAGTTCTGAAGATTAGAGGTGTTTAAAGAGATTAATAAACACAAAAAAGAAGAAGAGAAAAGGACAAAAGACGTTGAATAGGAAAGAAGGAGCAAACCACACCAGAGCAACTGCCATCCATCCATAAATGATTACTAAGAGCTGGCAAAATTTTTGTGTGGTTTTTTGGTGTTTTACGGCGCTCGAAACCGCATAAGGTCATATGAGCGTGCCGGACACGTTTAAACATTTACAGTTGGTAGTAAATATTGAATTTTGCCCAGGTGGCGGCCGAAGCCTACTCTTATTGATTTTGGACCACCAAAGGATCTTTAATGTGCACAACTTGCACACGGGACCTCCAAGATTTTTCGTCCATATCCAAGAAGGCTAGGTGTAGATCTTTCCTACCAGAAGATCAGGGGTGTGGATGAAAGATAGCTGTAAGAAGGAGCCAAGGAGTAGCAGCAGAAAGGCTGCAGAAAGAGTCAGGAGCCCATAGGAAGGGGCAAAGGAGGTGACGGGGTAGGGACAGAAAATGGAGACGAAAGCAGACGAAAGAATATTGCTAGAGAGCAGGAAAGAAGGTGAAAGGAGACAATTTTAGAGGAGACATTTTTTCCGGCGAAACCAGGATTCGAACCCGGGACCTTTGAATAGGAGGTGAACATCTTAATCTCTAGGCCACAAGAGCCCCCGAGTTGGCAAAAAACGAGAGAGACGTGAATAAGTTAAAGTGTACAGGTTTAATGCCACTCTCAACATTGTTAAGTTAGCATTTTATAGTCCGACAGACAGCAATACAAAGAACCCTGTCTAGTCAGGCAATCTGGAGAGTAATACACCCCAAGAAGTCACTAGTTTTTGGCATTCGGCAGGTTACCCACCCCCCCTGCAACACTAGAGCAGACCTGCACCGAGTGACCGGTCAGGGCTTCTTGGGTATGCCCCTGCTGAGTGAGGGGAAGGGAAAGTTCTCGTTGGTGCAGAAAAGCACAGAGTGACCATGATAAAGTGTGAAGGGTAGGACCACTGAATTTGAGGTCGATCTCCCTTTCTCTCTCTTTTTTTGGGTAAGTATTTTACGGCGCTCAAAACCATATAAGGTCATATGAGCGCGCAGGACATATTTCAACATTTATAGTAGGTAGGAAATTTTGAATTTTGCCCGGTGGCGGCCGAAGCCTACTCTTATCGATTTTAGATCACCAAAGGAACCTTAATGTGCACAACTTGAACATGGGACCGAGATTTTTTGCCTTTGTCCGAGAAGGCTAGGTAGAGATCTTACCTACCATAAGTTAAGGGGTGTGGCTGAAAGACAGCAGTAAGAAGGAGCTAAAGAGTAGCAGTAGAAAGGCTGCAGAAAGAGTCAGGAGCCCAGAGGATGGGGCACAAGAGGTGAGGGGGTGGGGGCAGAAAGTGGAGACGAAAGTAGACAGCAGAACATTGTTAGAGAGCAGAAGAGGATGTGAAAGGAGAAAATTTTAGAGAAGAAAATTTTCCATCGCTATCTGGATTCGAACCCATGGCCTTACTGAATGAGAGGCGAACACCTTAACCTCTAGACCACAAGAGCCCCCGGTCTATCTCCAATAAGACCCCAGCCATATGGGTTGAGAGCCTTGGAATCTTCACAAAACAACCCTAGTTCAGCTCAACATGACAACAGCTGAGCAAAACGGAGCTGTACAGTGCAAAGAAACAACAAGGAGAGAAGACAAGTAAACAGGACATCAGCACCACCGAAAAGAGCATTCATTCTCTTTAGATATGTGCTTCTAAAGATTGTTACTTTCGTCTGACCACGGTTTAAACAAGATAAACTGAAATCGTTCTGTGTAATAATCTCAGGTCCTTGCATACGAGATTAAAAGTTCAATGACCAACAGAATTTTAAAGTTCATTCATAAAGGTCGCTGAAAACTAAGGCTCCGACAATTTTTCTTTGAAGTAAGCCTAAAGTTGGTCAAAGAAATAATAAAGGATTTACAGCATACACCTAAAACATTTAAAATATAAGTTGACATATTTTCCTCAACACCGCACTCTAATGTACACTTAATTAAGAAACACGATCCAAGAGACAGGGTGTGTAATTTTTTAGACTCACGTGGAGCACGTGGAGACGTCTAGACAGTGGGGGGATGAAATCTACAAGTTTACACTGAAATGAGGGGGCAGGGTGGTGTTGCTGTGTCAAAATGAGCTATTTGAAGGCAAGGTTACCGTAAGTCATTTATTTTAGCGATCTTGTGTATGCATCCAAAGAGCAGTTTTTAAAATAGGGCCCAAAGAGAAGAACCTTTTCATCACTGGATTAAGATTTTTACAAATAAATTTTGTTTGGTCGCTGGCCTGCAGAAGTGCTATGTAAAGTTTCGTGGGGGGTAGGTAAATTAATAAATGAGCTAGAATTTTTTAAACGTGGACAGACGAAAGTGAACAAGCAATAACAGGCGCAGGAAAAAAACATGTTCAAAACAAATATTGAATGAAAGACAGAAAGAGTGATTACTGTAGTCACTTTCCCTGGCCCACACAAATCCATAGACACAAACATGTTCAACTTGGTACAAGATAATGTCCATGACTGTGGACAATAAAACAAATATGAATTTATACAATACAAAACAAATTCAATGACTTTATACTATAACAAATCATATGACTCTTGAAAAATACACAAATGGTTTTTGCCACTATATGATCTTTCTTAAAATAAAAAAAACTGAAATTCAAAGCACAACCAGGGAGTAACTAATAAAAGGCTGCTGTGATAGTAAAAAAGTAATACTAAACATCATTTGCACACCAAAACATATATATTGTCTGTACATTAATCAAGGAAATCTGTGAAAAGAAAGACATCTGATCATTCTCAACACAATGGCCCGATGCAGAAGTCGAGGAAAATGCACCTCAGCACTAAAGAGATTGTTAAAGAAACAATATATCTTAAGTCTCACAAAATTTGTGTGAGTGAAAAAATGTAACCACATTTTTGGCTCTTTTTTATTTTGATTTAGTAAGAGGTTTTACAGCGTTCGCAACTGCATAAGGTCATATGAGCGCCAAGGGGTGGATGTCAACAGAGAAGTCCTTACAGGGAATCAGACTTACTCTGCTCACCTCTCTAGCTTCAACAGCACAAAGTCTGTTTTGACTTTCAAGGCACCCCGGAAATAGCGGGTCACAAGAGTGTGACAAACGTACAAAAGAAGTAGAGGAAAATGACGATAGGATTAGGAAACAAAAAGCAGCAGTTCCCTGTTGTAGTTCAGGCACAGTTATGAGCATGACATTGTTGGATCAGCCCATTTACAATTCTACTGCACATTAGAACAAGAAATGTTCCTCCTTTGGGAATGGCCTAAAGACACTTCAGTCAGTGGCTCTTTTCAAAATTTGAAGCTAATAAATCTCAAAATCTGAACAAAGATGAATCTCTAAATGTGCTCACTGAAAAAATGTACCATGACCAACAAAAATACTGAGTGAGCAGAAAAGACAAAGATAAGGACAGTGGAATCTCCACAGCTTTCTTTACATTGTAAATAGGTAAGCAGGCTCCTTATACTCTGCCTGTGAGGGCCACAGTGGGATGTTTAGGGCACTACATACCAGGCAAAAGACGTAGATATTTGATACAATCTTTTGCAACAAGAATCAAACCCACATCTTGGGAATGTAAGGTGAAGAGCATGATAATCATACCATAGATGCCCATACACTAACTACCCTCAGAGTAACTTGAAATAAAGATTACAGAAATTTTGGTAAATTAAAATATATTTTGTGCATTTTCTGTAAAATCAGAGATTTGTTGAACTGATTACAACACAGATGATACATATGTTTTGTCAACTGAGAACTAGAGGTGATTATGTCCAAATTATGTTTTGAGAAAAAAACAATCTTTATCACACGGAGAAAACTTTAAACATTTGGACATAAAAACATTGGGAATCCTGTCAGGGGCAAACCCACTGGGTGAATTGGTTTGATATTACAGACATAATTGAATGTCATTTGAACACTTCACTTCTGCTTGTTTTGGCATTATGCCTAAAACAGGCACAGTCATTTCTGGCTCTCAGCTGACAATTTGTGACCTGTACTTTTGCTTACATTGTACGATTTGAAGAAGCCAAGGTATCGCAGGATGCCGACATAGGAAAGGAAGATGCCCAGGCCTATCACCATGCTGCAGATCTCGTAGTTCTCCGAGGAGATGCTGAAAGACTGGAGAACATAAGAAGACAGGAAATGTCACCGACATTATTCACGTGTTACATCTATCATCTATCTCACACTTGCAGCCTGATCATAGTCCACCACAGCGTAAAGACAAATGTGTGTGAGCCTAAAGAAAGGTACCAAAAGTCGGATTTTGGTCATTTTGAGTTAAGGGTTGTGCCTTATAGGAAATTCAATGCTGAACACAGAGGTCTTGGAAGTTTTTTAGATATCTAAAGTAGTGTTTGAGATATTGCATATTTTGCGAGGTAGGGTATACAGATATATAATTTTTAGAAAATGAGCTTTTAAGTTTAACAAACGTGAGAACACACACAAACTTAAAAAAAACGATTCATGGCAAATTCATGTCCAATTTGGTATTTAGTTGACATCAATATCATGAATGGAATTCAATGATAAAACATAGCTGGGAAGAGAAAACGAGCTTCAAGAATAGATTTTAACACCTGTTAAAAGCAGTTTCCATGAGCACGTTGTAAAAAAATGGTGGATCTATCATTTTTTTTATGGAAACCCATTTTGGTCCAAAAAGTGATATTTGTCATTATCATCCTGTAGCTCGAAACGGTCTGGGGCGACTTTTGGTACCTTTCTCTATGCGCACACACAAATGTTGAAAAGCAGAAACTTTTGATATCCACACCACAATCTCTAATTACTGGATATATTACCCTGTATTCTATTCATTATCTGATCATACATTGCAATATTGCCAACATCTTAGTGAAACTAACTAAATGTTTTGAAAATCAAGAAAAGAGACAGAAAAAAAATGACATGAAGACGGAAAACATAGTGATGAATCAAGGGAACCCTCCAACGAGCCTTAGACTCACTGTCACAATGACGTCAGATAGACTGTTCCCAAAGAAAGCATTAATTTGTTCAGTAACTTATGGACTGTCATAAATCAAAGTAAAAAATTTGAAGACTTATAAAGTTGAAGACAGTTTAATATGTGAGGACAACTTTCCATAGCAAGTCCATGCATATACAGTAGTCTCTGCCTAAACGCACGGTGCTCGGGAGGGCTCCTTAGCGTGTGTTTACATGGAGCATGCGTTTACATGAACCTTTGCAAAGGGAGGAAGGGACGTAGTCATCTCAACTCCCTATCAACTCTACTGACCTCCCTTGGAGGGAGGAGGTCATTTTGGCAGATAATGTGACGGCACGCAATTGTTTTGTGAAAGATTCTCGGACTGGGGACTGGGGTTAGGAGTACAAAGGCGTTGATTGGGGGAGAAAGACAGACTTCATGTAATAAATTATCATTATTATGCACTATAAACCTCGGAAACAGATAGCGTAGGAGGAAACTGTTGGCGATAACCATAGAGACGACAGCCCAGCCATGTGGCTTTCCAAGCGACCACCTCCAACCGTAAATTCATGCAGAATCATTCTTTACATTCAGAGAAACATTTCTCTTGTGATTCGTTGTACAAGTACGTTATAAGTTCTTCAAGCGCAGCTGATTAGGCTTACTTGTCTAATCTTTTATCCTGTCTAGATCTAGTGTTTTACGGCATTTACGGGTGTCGCGCATCAGGCCTAGATCTAACTAAACATTACAAGCAGTCACTCAAACACCAGTCAGAAACCTTCTCTCAAAGATACATTTCCAGGAACCAATCAAAAAACATTTCAGTCCCCCCAATCCCCCCCCCCCCCAACATTTCACCGACCAGACCTAGATCTATGTGTCTGTGGAAAGTTGGATGTGAAAACGCTGTCCATCACTCTTTCTTAGGCTTGTCTTATGCAGGCTGTACAAGTTGTAGTGAAAATTTCCCCATGTTAAGCTTTACCTGTCAGCGTGTTTCGCGGATCAGAGCGTGCGTTTAGAGGGAGTGACCGTGCGTTTGTACGTCTAAATTATATCGTAAAAAACCCGTCAGATGACGAAAGCGTGCGTTTGAGCGGCGTGTGCTTTTGTATGGCGTGCGTTTAGGCGGAGACTACTGTATGTTTTACCATCTGACGCAAATATAAGACTTTGGGATACCCTTTAAAAGTAGGAGTCCTGATTAATTAACACAAGTCAATACGAATTTTTGTAAACATATTATTATTGTTGAAACCCAAAGGGCTTTCAAAAGCTACATGTGTCACAATGAGGTAAAGTCAGGCACTCGTCAATTTTAGGGCACGTGGAGTTATTGGTATCATCTTAAAGCATGTTCATTTGCCTTGCTTTAGATGGAAAAAATACTTATCTATCTTGATAAGAAGTCAATATATTGGCAATTGAATTTCAGAGGTAAAATTAGTGAGAAAAAGACCACCAAAGTTTGGTAATTTCAAAGACTTGAGAGTCCTTGGAAACAGCAAAAGTACATTTTTGTGCCTTTAACCAACATCTTTCAGTGAATTCCACACATAAATATGTTTCTAAATGGACATAAAAGGTGTTAAGCCAAAAAACACAAAATTCAATAAAAATTGCCAAACAAGTGGAGAAATGCCAATTTCTTCTATTTAATTATTTTGACCAGCGCCTGATTACAACACCATGCCTCTGCAGAGCTTTGTTTTGAGCTAGAGTTCACATGCCCTGCTCGTGAAACACCTAAGTGGCAGTTTGAGCAAAGCTTTACCACTGTTTGAGCCACTGTTTGAGCCGCTGTGAGAACCAGTGTTTTCAAACAACTCTACCACAGGGAGTGCCCTCAGACTGCCCAAACTTCAGCTAAATGTTCCTTGAAGACTGAATTCTCAAGATTGTTAATTAATTTTTTTCCTCTTAATGAACCATTAAAAAGGTTTTTATCACTCTCCTGAAAGTGAATGAAAACATTAGTATTGAATTTACGAGGTTGAAAACCCCAACCAAGTACACTATGAACAAAGACAAACTTTGTCAGTGGCGAAGTAAAAAGAAAATAACAAAAAAACATAACAAATCAGTCTTAAAGGAAGAAAATACAATTAAAATCAGCTATCAAAAAGCAAAACTTTTCAAACCGCTGAGCTAATGAACCACTTGGAAAAGCGCTTTAGACAAACTTTCCTTACTTCACCCCAAAGGGAATGTGTACCCAGACATACGCAGTGAAAGATATCATCAGTTTGTAAGCGTTTGGGTGCTTAATCTGCTGCTTACATTGTAGGCTTCCAGGGAGGACAAGAATGTTTTTGAGTGTTTGAGAGTCTGCTGGGATAATAATAGTGGTAAAGTGCATAGAGCATGCAGCCATGCATGAATACACATAATATAAATGCACAATCATTATTATTATGATTATCTATTATTATTTATGATTATCGTTATTAATTTTATTATCATTATAATTGTTATTGTTATCAAATGCTGACCCTACTCTCCAGTTGCATCTTGAGTGCAGAGCCGATGCAGGTGAAGATGTCGTTGATGATGATGATGATGTACCACATGTTGATGAACTCCAGGTGGTTGGAAAAGCTGAGCGGACGCCCCCGCTGGAGACGGAAGTACTTGGCCGTGTCCTGAAGGGGGAAACAGAGACGTGTGGCCAGGCGTGTGTATGATCAATGTCCGATTTCTACAGTTTTTCAGGTGTTTACTTTACACAATCCAGCAAATAGATTTGAGGACAGTAGTCATGATCGATATAGCAATGCATTTGTGTGGCAGGGATGTCAACTTAAAATTCAAGAAATTCTAAAGGCTACACTGTTGTTAATTTAGCAATATATGGCATTAGTAGTTGAGTGATTAGGCTACTTGACTCGAAATTGTGAGGCTGCGAGTTCTGGGGTTTGAGGCTCAACATAGCCTGACACTATGTCCTTGGGAAAGGCTTTTTAAAACAAACTTTCCCCATTTGATCCAGGTGTGAATAGGTGCCCAGCCATAGACAGTGACAGATAGTGTACGAATGTACTAGTGTTTAAGCACCTACAAAATGGCAAGTAGCACTGTATGCTTCCCAGGAGGTTGAGATTGTTTCAGACTGCAATCTGGTCTAATGGGGCCATAATAAAGATTGTGAAGCACATGGGGTATACTGTTGAGCGGGAATTTGCACTATACCTACGCTTTCTATTGTTAATACTATAAAAGAAAGCACGGTTTGTCTTTGCACAATTTATTAGACTTAAGTGTTTAAGGAATTACCTGAAAATATCCTTCTGCACCTTCCAATGGCTTTTCTAAAGCCCCTCCCAAACACTAAAGGACATAAAAGGGAGGAGACATAAAAAGTAATCCCATAATATGTGACATAAAATGGTAAACAGGGAAAAATGTCCATGCTATTAATGAAATGGTTAATGACTTGATACAAAAGAAGAATAAGAAGAACAAAAACAAGGAGGAGGAGGAGGAGGAGGAGGAGGAGGCGGAGGAGGAAAAGAAGAACATTTATTTGCAATCAATCACAAGCACTAACCATTCTGAGTTTGTTGCTGCGTTTCAGAGATCGGCTACACAAAATCGTGGACAGGCAGCAGGTGGCTATGACGGCTGCGTCAAAAGCTATGTACTTCATCTTCAGTGACTCCATCTCATCTGCCAGACACACAAAAATTAGGTGCGGAATCAACCATTTTCTGTATAAGGTGCATTGTCCAAGTAAGAGTGCGTATGTGTGTGTGCGCGTGTGTGTGTGTGCACATGTGCGTGTGTTTGTATGTGTATGTGCATGCATGTGTGTGTGTATGAGTGTTTGTGGGTGTGTGTTGTGAGTTTGATAATGTGTACATGTTACCACATAAAAAGTAACTAAATAAAAGCTCAATAATAATTGAGAAATGGGTTAAAAAATGCCTGTTTCTTCAATTTCACTATCTGGTTGAGCGCCTGATTTCATTACTATGCCTCACATATCAATTCTTTCATTGGAAGAAAAATAAAGTTTATCTTATCCGATCTCACACAAGAGAAAAGACAAGCCCTCAGGCTTGTACCTTCTGCTTCTGGTGACATGATCTTGCCAAAACACGTGACCTCAGTGCGTGTTGTCTGTAGGTCCACCAGCAACTGCCCACTGCGCGCTTTGTTCTCGTACAAGATCTGACGGGTGTGATTAAATGAGAGTCAGTACACTATAGACATTATGGTACACCTGCTTCAAATGTGGCCAAAGAGACAGGGGAAGGGGGTGGGAGGACTCAGTAAAGAGGAAACGAGATTTAAGATCTGAAATGACAATATGAAATATTCTGAAATGAATTTAAATCATGGATAAAGAGGTTAAAAGAAGACAAAATCCAATTCAAATTAGAGACAAGAAGACTAAGAGCAAACAAATAAAATTCAAAATATTGTGAAAAGAATTCAAAGTACTATGGAAACATAAAAAACCCATGATAAAACAGATTTAATATATAGCCAAAGGAAGTAAAATACAGCAAAATGGCCTTATTTATTTCTTAATGAATTCAAAAAAGGCTTTATGAACAGTTTGTATCTCAGATGATTCAAATTAGGTTCAGAGAAATACAGAAATCACATCAAAATCCATTAAAAAAATACTGCTACACTGAATGAAAAAAACATCACTGAATGGGTTAAAGACTAAGCTCAATTCTTTTTTAAAAAATGGATACATGATCTAATCAAGCGAATACCAAGCATGATTCAAATGATTCGAGAAAATGCAAAGCAAATGAAAATTTACTGCACTGCGGTAAAAGGCATACATATGCCTGAATGTGCAATGTGAGTCTGTGTGTGTCTGTGAATGTGTGTATGTGAATGTGTGTATGTATGTGTTGGTAAGTGCATGCACATGTATTTGTCTGTGTGTGAGAGTATGAGTGTGCATATGAACCTGCATGTGTATGTGCGTGCATGGTTGTCTCAGTATGCTATTATTTACATAATATGAGCTTTTGCCAATAGGTGGATACCTAAAATGTAGCACAGAGGGTTGATGATAAAGTTTTTAATATTTCGTTTTCACTTGAATTTTTCTGTTAATGCAAATCTCTTCCTACAAAAACATGTATTTACAGGCCTACAGATGGCATGCTAAGCTGTGTTACTGGCGTTACATAGCATCAAGTCAAATTCTTTCGGACATAACTATGATGACACATTTTTTAGAATTTGAATATACAAAATTATTTTAACAGTTTTCTTATTGCTTTCATTTTCAAACATAAGCCTGAAGAGAATATAAAATGGTGAGGACCACAGGAAAAAGAAATTCTGAATGCCATTGTGTTTGCATTTGTGTCATCATAGTTATAGCTGAAAGAAATGAAAAACTTTCCATTTTCATATTTTAATTCTTTAAAAAAAAAATTTGGCAAACAAAGATTCAGGAGATTCAGTTTGACTCATAATGCATGCTAATGGTGAAAAAATGTCACTTCATTCACACTTTACTATGACTCTATGCAAAATGCCAAATATCTATCTACGATGACACGTAACGGATAAATGTTTGTCATAATTTTAGAACATATCATCAATAAACATCAAATCTTCCCCTCTCGTTGACATCCAGCCAAGAACGCGCGGTCCCATCTAGATCTATTACTACTTGACAATTGGAACGTAGTGCAATGTTAATCATTACTTGGTTTAAATTTGATTAAAGGAGGGGAAACATTTTTCGGAAATAACAGCTTTTTTTTAACATAACACTAAGATTTGATGACGACATAAAAAAATTTTAATGAATCCGTCTCATCCATCGTTATTCTTCTCGCCGTCTTGCATCGCACAACAATACGCTTTGAATGAATTGGCAGGAACAATGCACGTTCCTCCAACCCTTTTATTTCTCGTTTTCTGATTGATTCTTTCGAGCATAACAAATCATGACAGAGCACCAGGCATCGCGGGATTTCCATTTACTGCAAAATTACGCACGGTCACAGCCCTGGAATCAGTCAGGGCAGAGAGTAAACATTGAACAACATTATGCTCATCCCAGGGCCACAAAGTGGCTGATAGAAACGAAGTCATGGGGAATCAAAGTTGCCTTGCGAAATGACTACACGAGTTATGCGCGAAAATGAAAATCTAGAAGGCTCTCAAAGAAAAAACAGCTACAGATATCATTATTTCTGATATAGCACCACAAATAAAGTAGTTATAGTAGTAAAAGTGTAGAAGAATGAATTTCTCAGCAATTATTTCATTGTTTCATTGTTGAAATTGACAACAGAAAAAGTACAAACTCAACACGTCACATTTTAAATTCTAAAAATACATCGATTTCACAACTAAAAATTTTTGTAAGATTTCTTCTGATGGCCCGACTGCCATTTCTCTACTCCCATAGCTGAAACATCATATTAGGCACAACATATACCCATTTCAAAGCTGTAGCTCCATTTTTATTGGAATGACAAAGGATTTTGTAAGGTATATGAAGAAACCCCCACCTATTGGCAAAGGCTCATATATAAATTTGGTGTAGCAGAAGTAGGTGAAAGAGCACTGTCAATTTTTTTCTGTGCAAATCAATAAAGTATTTCTCTAATTTATGTCTCTAATGGTCTGTCTACTCACTTCCACTTCCACATTGTAGCACGTCGGTCCATAATGAGTCTCTAAAAGGTTTAGATGAAAAGTCCGAATTTTGAAGCCCAGGCTGATTTCTAACACTCTGAAAAGATAACAACCAACAAAGCAAATGACATCTCGTGGCTCAAAATCATAGCATTTGCTACTTGAATCTCAAAAAATGAAGCAATACTTACCAGAAAGATTCAAATATAAACTATTATCAACTTCCTTCTCAATAATTTAAAAGAAATAGGAACATTTACACAAGAAGAGAATGAAGCAGAGACTCCCAAAAATATCTTTTCTACATGAGAATAAACATATCTTCTTCAGGCAAGCAAAGTTCCAAACCACTGTAGCAATGACACTGATGAATTTTAAGAAAATTGACAAAATTAAATTTTAGAATTCTAAACAATGATTATGTTCTCTTCTCTACATACTAAAAATTAGAGATCAAGATACTCTACTTCCGTGCAATCTCTTTGTTTCACGGTTATGGCAGGGCTGTAGTTTACATTGAGACAGTACATGCAGCGAGGGCATTTCACTGGACACAAATCAGGAACATCAAAACACAAAGAGGTAGATGGAGCAGACCATGTTTGAATGCATAACCACCTCACTCCTTAAAGAAGGTTTTAGAAACTCACCGATCGTATGGCAGGGAGAAGTTATGTTCCTTTAAGTATTTCTGTATGTCATATGTCCGGTTCTCTATAGGCCCGTAAGGTCGTATAAATGTGCAGTCTGTGGACAAAAGAAACAACCGTATCAGATGGTGTGAAACTTGACTACATCTATGAGGCATCTAATGCAACCAATTGACAAAAAAAAAGATGATGTGAGCACAACGTCTGAAGGAACAAAAAAGCATTCAAAATACAACTAAAATCATTCTCGCCGGTGCTATGGGAAACTTATCTACAATCGAAAGAGTTCTATTTGCGTGTGGTAAAGGGTACCACCTTAACGCAAAAGCAGTTATCAGTACATACTGTTCATATAGGTAATTCTATGCTTTTAACACCCCTTTTAACTCTGACAAGTTATCTAACTCTTTATCTCCCAGCGGTCGGAACTGCTGTGCCGGAGAGCCGCTGGAAACAACTCAGGCGAATTCCTTTACAGCGACTTTGACGTCAAATTACTTTTTGGCAATTGCCGAAAACAAATCTCTTTTAAAAGGAGACCATTCAATAGATGAAGAACTATCGAAATAGGTTCATTTAAAAATTTTTTATTAATGACCAGTTCATTGACATATATGTCAATTTTAGATTTCGTACCAAAAAAGAGCCACGGCATAGTGGGTTTACCCCCCCCTCAATGGAGATAAAGAGTTGAGAGGCAGGACATCTGAATTTAACACCCATCCCCAATAGAGTGGGGAGCCATGAGCCTGTCTCAAACAACTAAAGGCTCAAGAACACCCCCATTGAGATTTGAACGCGGGTCATCCATACAATAGCCCATTGTAATAAGAATTGAATTTATGGTGTCCCCTAGGCACAATTTTGATCAAACCTTGTTCAGTGGGAGGTAAAGCAAACAGGGGTGGAACTGTCCCATCCCCCAAAAACCTGAAAATGTAGATGAATCCAAGGCAGCGGACGATTGGATGGGGGTTGTGGGGTGTATGTGTCAGTGCACGTTTTTGTGTGTGAGTGTAAATATTCATGAGTGTGAGTGTGTGTGTGTGTGTAAATTTGCGAGTATTAGTGTTTGTGTGTGTGTGTGTGTGTAAAAGTGCATGTGCGTGCACACGAGCATTAGTGTTTGTGTGTGTGTGTGAGTGCGTGTGTGTGTGTGAGGGCGCGCGCATGGGTGTGCGTGTATGCGTGCGCGTGCATGGTACGTGAGTATTTGTGTGTGGGTGTGTGTGTGTGTGTGTCTGTCTGTGTGCGTGCATGTCAGTGTGTGTGTACACGAGTATTTGTGTGTGTGTGTGTGAACGTGTTTGTGTGAGTGAATATGTGCAAGTGTGTGTATGCAAGTATTTGTTTGTGAGTGTGTGTGTGTTTGTGAGTGTGTGTGTGTTTGTGAGTGTGTGTGTGTTTGTGAGTGTGTGTGTGTTTGTGAGT